TCCTCTTTTGGCAGAACTGGGGATTGAACTCAGGCCCTTGCGCTTGCCAGGCAAGCACTTAGTAAATTTCTTAAATTATGTGCCTCTGGTATTTCATCCAGGCAACTAAAAGCCTGACTGATACATAAGTCAACAGTGTACAGTCAGATCTTGGGCCTCTTTTACAAAAACAAAATAATAGTGATAAATACAATCATAGATAACAGAATTGCATTTTATAATTTTACTAAAATTTTTGATGGAATTCATAAAATGTCTTAATATTTTTTAGCTTGTTTCTTTATACTTAAAGTAAGAACACTATTGTTTGAAGACCTACTATGAGAATTGAGGGTTCTGTCTATTAAATATCATGGTCAGTGCCTGACACTTAGCAGGTACCTGTGTGTAGTTGGAGCTGATTATTATTATTATTTATGGTAGTGGTAGTAGTGCTGTAAATTGAATCCAAGGCCTTCACAGTGAGCTACATCCCCAAACCTATTATTATTATTATTAAAATTTTGAGGCCTCTCACTAGATCACTATTGTTCAGCGTGGGACCAACCAAACTCGTGGTCTTCCTGTCTCGGCCTCCCGGAGCCCGGGATTAGAGATACTGCCTCCACACTTCTCCAGGACCCCTTATTCTATTTTTCTGTCTGATTTCCTGTTACTTTTCTGGAGGTAGCTGAACTTCTAACCCCTGTCTTTTGTTCTTCTGTCCTTCAATTGTCTAACTCTTATTAGCACATTCCAGGAATCTGTTTTGCAGTCCAAACTTTTGTTTCCATCTATTGAAAATCAAGCTCCAGGAGATCTGGTGTGAACATTTTGCCAACAGCGAGACTTTGCAGGTTTTCCACGCGCTCTCCTCCACCTCCTTTAAGTATGGCATGGCCAGTGACATCACAGTGTTGTTTATTAATAGTATACTCTGTAACTCAGAAAAACTTGGGACCAAATTTTTAAATTTGGTCATGCATGAAAATGGAAAGGCAATATGTTAAAATGAGATGACAGGCTGTTAGAAAACTACTGAATGTCCTCCTCCTCCGCACTCCTCCCAGCCCTCCCCTTCCCCTGTCGCTCCCCCTCCTCCTTCAGGGTCTCCCTGCACAGGCTAGGCTGGCCTTGAACCACTGTGCAGCCAGCGTTGGCCTCTGACTCGCAGTGGTCATGCTGTCGCAGTCTCCCCAGCGCTCCGATTACAGGTGGGCACCACCATACCCAGTTTGAAAGTTGCAATCATTAATCAGTCCGTTGCACAAATCGTGTTAAGTGCGGAAAGAGCTAAAGCAGATGCCGCGGTGCACATTGTAACCCCAGTTATGAGGACGGCCGAGGCTGCAGGGTTGTACACTGGAGGTCAACCCCGGCAATTTAGGGACACTCTGTCCACAAATAAAAAGGCTCTGATAGGATATTTTTGCTCCACCCCTAGTTCACCCCCAAAGCCATTCTATTATTTTACTAGCGGTAGGTAAACTTTTTCTCACTGGTTTGTTGCTTAGTTTGAAAAGTCCTTGTTCTAATAAATCTTTATGGAACACCTAGTAGGCATCAGACGTTCTTCTGGACAAAAGCTGGACAGTGCTGCGACCCCGGCTGTGTAGCGCAGGACTTGGCGCCGTGTGCACTTGTCCACCCCTCGCGGGGCCTCCGGTGTGGGGCTGAGACGACTCCGGCTGCCACACAGACTTTGCAGCTGGGCAGTAAAACACGAGTTCCGAAACAGAGGAAATCTGAACCGCGAAAGCTTCCACGAATTACGTCAGCGTTAACCGGTTACTCCCGGGTTCTTTGTTTTCAACAAAGTCTTAAAAGTTTCCAGCAGGACCAGGTGGGGTGGCAACGAGAGTAAGGAAGGTAGAGGTTCGCGGACGGACTTCGGGGCGTCCGTGTGGAAGTGGGGCGCGTGCGGAGGTCCCGCGGACAACGGGGGCGCTCTCGCCCGGGCATTTCCGGCTCGTGTTTCTGTACCCCGGGTTTGAGTTGATTATTCTGGGGGAAACGATCCGTGCAAAAAACTTGGCGCCCGCGAGTGTGTGTGTGTGCATGTGTGCACTTGTGCACTTGTGTGTGTGCCTTTTTACGCGCGCTTGTGTGCACGTGTGTGCGCGCGTCTGCGCGCGGAGGGGGCGCGGCCCGCCCCCAGGATGACCGCCCCCACGACAACCGCCCCGCAGCACGCCTGGTGCAGACCCCGGCGCCCCTCCGAGCCCCCGCCCGGACGCCAGGAGCCGTGGCCGTCCGCTCCGCGCAGACAAAGGACGGACGTGCGCTCGGGAGCGGCGGGG